GACGAAAGTCACAGATCAGGCAATTGTTTTACTTACAAATTTTTAAGAGTAAGGTTTGCAAACACACCGTCTGGTAGCTGGGTTATGACATTATTAAATAGATATCTAGAGGAGCAAGGGATAAAAATGTATAGTGTTAGAATACACAGTAATAATTCTTTGATTGCACGTTACGTCTTCGCGGCCATCTTGGTGCCAAAGGGTTTTCATTAGCATCCATTGTTAACCGCACCAAAATGGTCGCCAAGTTTTTTTTCTTTTGACTCTTTTGGGATCTCTTGGGAATGCTTGAAGCACGGATGGCATTCGCGTCTAAGGGCGTTGTCTCTCACGGCTGTGTGGTTCACGCCTGCATGGTTTTAGGCTTCGATTTCCCGCTAAGCCAGAATTGTGAGCTGAATTCCATCTGTTGTTTTCTCTTTCGTCATGAGGATTTTTCTACGGGTTCTCCGGTTTTTCTCCCTCCGTAACTATTCAACTTGTCATGTGTCGTAAATATGTGAATGCAGTGAYCATGGTAGAACGTGTGGATCGAACCTCACTGAATTTTTAGGTTGCAGTTACCTATTTGTAAACAGTACTTACAATTCTTGCAAGTCTTTTAAACCCATGAAACTGTCTTTGTGGATCTTCTCGATTTGGTTGTTGTTTAATGTTCTTTAAAAAAATAATGAAAATGTTTACACCTAATCACAGGAACGTTTTCATATAAAATATAAAATAGGAATTAATTATTTTTAAGCAAATCAGGCGTAATTATTTTCACTGTTTTGAAGGTATAGTAAGACATTTTTTGGAACATATCCATAGCGTATAGAAGTATAGCAAACGGTATGGTTTATGTAGGAGCAGAAGTCCAGAAATGTATTTCGGAGACAAACCATGTAAAACCTTGAATGTAATAACAAGCACCTTGAAAATAATGCGCTTATCAATTGTAAAACAGTGCAATTTCCATGGAGTGCTGTAGTGATGTGCTCTCTTTTCTTCGTTAGTAACCAGTCTTTGTCGGGAAGACCAATAAGCAAGCTATTGCAATATTCGAGACTTGATGTCACAAATGCATGAACCAGTTCCGTGCGGACCGAGTGGAGGTATCGATGTACACCTATCGTGTTCAGAGCTAGGATTGCAGATCTGCAAAGACTATTCACAGGTGCAGATATTTGTAGATGGTGCCGGATCGAGGATTACGCCAAGGTCACATGCTGTGGGCTTTACCAGATCATTGTTCAACACCATTTGTAGTATTGGTTGAGAAGACAAAAACCGAGAACTGAAATGAACAACTTTGGTTTTCGATGTGTGGCATATATGCTAACTTGTTTTTCACCATCGATCTATCGTTCTTTTCAAAGGTGACATACATCTGGGTCTTGTCTCCATAGACCATAGGATTTAGGCCATGTGCTTGTATGATATCTTCAATAAGCCTTTTCATAGTTTAAGAATCGACTCCACTGC